ATAATAAATGACTTATCGCATGAAATGTCCAGCAATAATTATGGATTTATACTACTCATACTATTTGAAAATTATTTTAAATTGCACTCGCTCGTGCAATTTTGAGAGAATTTTCAAATATCAGTTATAGTATGAATTCTTAATTGCCCTTGCATTCATACGATTGACTATACTAACTGGAATAACTTGAGAGCAACACATGTACGCATAGTGGACCTATTTTTTTGCTCGGGGAAAATTTACTTAGACGTAGGCCATTGAATAATAGGCTACATTTATCTGGTGATTCTACTCAATTCTCCCTAACGCCTTTCACACAGACGAACTTAAATTTAACAATCAACTGGTCAGTTTCAATCGGCTACCATTTAATCACAAACTAAATTATCAAACTGCAAAGCCATGAACGAAGATCCTGCTTGATTGAGCGTTGGATTTCAAAGCAGATCTAATCAGCCAAACTTGAAAAGTAAAACAATGATAAGTCAAAGACTACTGCAAGGCTGACCGCACACAACGTCGAACATTTAAAACAACATTTCAGCTGGCCAGACCAGCCTTCTTCAGGTTTAGTTGTCACTAATTTATGAAAATGAAATAGAGGATATTACATGCCCGCGCGTGGATACGAATTTTTCGAAGATTTCCGAAGATTTTCCAAAATTGTTCCGAAGTCCGGACGAGCGCTTCCGAACATTTTAGAACAGTTTCCGAAGATTGCCGAAGATTGCCGAAGACGACCGAAGAAGATCCGAAGATGTTTTGATCATACATCAACAAATTTAAGTGTAGTTAAAGGAACAAAAGAAAAATGTCATCAAAAAGGAATGATATCTTCACAGTGTGAAAGACAAAAATAGTATCTTCACAGCGCGCGATGAAGATATGATTTTTTAGTCAAAGGAAAAATCCTGGTATTTCACTGGTGTTTATATAATAAATTACAATATTATATAATGGTGGATGCGTATATGTGTTACGGCATCCACCGTTATATAATACTTTATTTCAGTATAATTTCAGAGCTGAACAGCAATCTGATTGGTTGAGCGATTCCTTATAGAGTCCTAAAGTGTGACGTCACAAAAGAATAAATTTGAGAAATTATGGGATTTGGTGCCATTTTCGAATAGAGCGTCCTTAAAAAAGGGTCCTTGCCAAAAATTACCTCTTAATTGTAATTCCCAGCCGAAATATAAAGGATGAAAATTTGGTAGTGCCCCATATAAATCTCTCTAATTTTGAGTCAGTTCTAAACTGAAGGAACTGAAACAAATTTTGAAGGGTTTGTATGAGATGCTATCAAACTTTGATCCCTTATATCTCTATCGGGAATTGCAATTCAGAGCTAATTTTTGGGATGAGGGCATCTTTTAGGATCCTCTATAAGAATATGACATCATATCCCATAATTTAAAAAATTTGATTTTTGTGACGTCATCACTTTAGGACTCTATATGACGCTATATTAACCGGGCCAGGCGGGGAATATAACATTTTCGAGGCATGGTTACTAAGCTCACCACCTTTGCCATCTCGGCAAGTAAACACAGTGGACAGGTGCTGAATGAATTTTTCATTTATTCGGAACACATCACTCTAAGTCTAGGATATTGCCGTATCGTCCTCGCTATCGCTCGGTCAATACGGCAAGGTCTCTGTCTGAGATTTTCCTGCAAAGACCTCACTCTTGGTTAATTAGCAGTTCGTAATTTCTGTTTTAGATATACTACGTTGTGTCAGTTTTACAGTAGTCTTTGATCTACCATGTCTTGCCCAAGAAAATAAAAAAAATATATATCATTCTCATAAAAAGTCATCTTAACTTCCAAGCTTCAGGAACTTAAGTGAAGCGATTACAAATGTGACGCGCTTCAGTCAGCGCGACCAACGTTTAATGATCAAACAGCGGAAACGGTTGATAAAAAAAGACGTTTATGAGACTGAGTCGGTGTACTAGTTGACTGCTGGTCTGATCGATCTTAGGGACAGGCGAGTGTTTATCCGTAAATACGAGCGCATAATGGCAGTATGGGCGAATGCCACACCCTTCTAGTTTCGTGATCCCTGTGTAATTTCGAGAGAAAAACAGCTTGCCAGCAGTCTAATCTACTAGTTTTATGTAACAATTAGATTATGAAATAAAAGGACCTAACATAGAACCTTTCGGGACACCAGGCTTGACGGTTTTCTTTGGGGAACCAGTTACATTAAGTTGTTGGCGCCTAGAAAAATTGCTTTTAATCCACTGCTGTGCCATAATGCCAGGATTGGAAATTAGCGCTTGCCCGGTCGCCCATTCGAGTGTTAAAAGGGTCGGGCGAGTACAAATCATCGATCACTCGCCCGTTTGACGAGTACGATTTTTATTTTAGGGAAATTATTTCGGCTCAAATATTAAAAACTCTCCTTTTTATTTTCCATTTTCATTTGGCCTTCTGGGCGATTGAAAATTATCCCGGGAGGGAGACTCGCCCGAATGGTGAGTGCTGTCGAATTCAGTTTCCAACACTTTGATGTTTCAATTTATTTAGTAAAAAAGATTGAATTATTCCAATTGATGGTGGAAGAAATTTTGTTAACAAGGCGATAACTGAAACTTAAGAGAAGCCGAGTGAGGTGAAATGATTTTTAATCACATGCATTGGGATGTATCATAACCAGAGGCTTTATGTTGTTTCCTTTATTATATTTGTGAAGTTTTCTCCAGATGGAAAATTGCTACAGTAAAAAACCCCGGTTAGGAACCTATATTTTTGAAGTCTGGCAAAATAGGTTCTTGTATTTTGGGGTAGTTATTGACAATTTAGGCTAAGTAAGTTCTTAAAATTTCTATGAAAGAGATATTGTCGTTGATTACCAGAAAAACAAATAAACTTGGGTTTGGTTAAATATACTGTATTTATTCACAACTGTATAATGTATTTTCGTGTAAAATAAATTTGCAATCTCAAAGTCACACTCCTTGGTTAAAATCTTTATCATAATTTAGCTGTAACACACATATAAGAACCTGCTTGATCTTGCTTCTTTGCTTGGCTGCCGACAGGTTCTCATATTTTTGGGTATAAAAATAGCAAATTTCTGCCAGCAGGTTCTTACACCACTCGGTTCTTGCACGCGGGTTTTACTGTACTTTCCAAGTCATGTACATTGGTGTTTTTGATAGTTTGTTCAGTTCTTAATAACACTTAGTGACTGGTCCAAAGGGCACATAGCCTTTTTCCCCCGGCAAAATTATTAGTTGAGTCTTACTAAATTCTTCTGTATGCAAAAGTGAAATAGTTGTCTACTTTAGCTGTGCAGGTATAAAGCAATGAAAGAAACGTTATATAAGTCCTCAAAAATAGAAATCTCGTGCGTTTGAAAGTCAAATAATTGCTTATTCCACCTGTTGATTTATGGGCAGGAATAAAGTAATGTGCAAAACGTTACACAAGTACTCAAAAATAAAATCTTGTTCGTTTGAAAGAAATTTCCTCGATCAGTGAGCGACATTAGTGGGTAAAATAAATGGCTGCTGTGTTCTCCTAGGGAGTTAAACAAGTGCGTCACGTGATTCGGTTTCGTCCAATTTAAAACTGTCTTTGAGACTGACAGGGTATAATAAACACTTAATGACTGGTTCCAAGGGAAACAGTGAGTTTTGCTTCCCCGAGACCCTCAATGAGGGAACATTGAGGGTCGAGGGGAAACAAAACTCGCTGTTTGCACGAGCGGCAGTCAAGCCGAGATGTCCTACCGAAACGACACGATAACAGTTTTTTTCTTAGCAGTTAACAAAATAAAGACAATACTTAAGTTGCACGTGTCAAATGTCATGGTTCAAATCTCAATTTAACTCCCTAGGGAAACAACAACTTGAACCTTCGACTCACACGTAATCAGGTTGTGCTTCTTGAAACCGCGGCAAATTTGTGTAATAGTCGGCCTTTTGTCAAAACGCCACTGTAGTAGGACAACGTTTCTCATTAGAGACGGCATTCATTATTCAAGGAGAGGGATTTATAATCGTAAAAACACATCAGATTAACAAAAGGGAAAATGTGAACGTTTTGTGTCTCCAAGCTTTTAGTTTGGCGCCAAAAATGGGTCGCCCGCGTTCGGCAACTTGCTCTTCGATCGCTCTCGCCACGTAGGAAAATATCTGTGTAATTTACAACAAAATATGCTGTTTGTGATCAAAGCAAACCCAGAATTCTTAAGTTAAGCATTAGAAGAAGCCAAAGCAACTTTAATACTCTCTATTTTTTGTTAACTGCGAAGAAAAAGACTATTATGGTGTTGTTTCGATAGGACAGCTCGGTTTTGGCAGCTGCTCGTTTTGCGAGCGCAGCCACTGTATGCAAGGGCGTCAAGCAAATCATTTTTTCGCAATTTTTTTTCTATTTTTGGGTCTCGGGGAAACAAAACTCACTGTTTCCCTTGGGGCCAGTCATTAAGTGCTAAGTGTTGTCTCCAGATGTAGAATTGTTATGGCTCTCATTTGTGAAATTCTTTCCCGCCTCAGTGTATCAGCTGGTCCATCTTTATCCGTGTGCTTCACTCCTTTAAAAGCGTATTGCCTGTTTTTCTCAGTTATTTTTGTGTGAGGGATTTTCTTTATTTTGCCACAGGGATCTATAGTGATACAAGGACAGTTGTCCTGCATTTTGTTCGAGTAATACAATAAATGCTAAAAATAATATCAGCTCGCTGATTGGTCGAAAGTTTGTTAAAAGTCTGGTAAGTCTGATAATCAAGTCATTCCATTCCTTCACGAAGAATCAGCCATGGACCGTCTTGATGTTAGATTCAGTACCTGGAATTGTAGCATCGTTGTGAAAACTCTAAACCTTGTAAAAAGATTTACTCGTGTTTCTTTTCGAACGCGAAGAAAAAGGTTGCCACGGACAGGTGAGAGAACTGTAATTAAGGTACATTAATTTAATTTAGCGGACGTTTATTTTTTGCATTTTGCGGTTTATCTCACGATCCACTTGGGATTTGCACACCTTTAGGAAACGGCGTCATCGATTTCCCAGAGTTTGTTAAACTAATGGAAGACCAGAAGAAACCAGATGAACGAGAAGCCGACACAATGCTAGCGTTCAGAATTTTCGACGCCGATAACAAGGGCTACATCGATTCAGCCGAGCTACGCTACATTCTATTAAATATGGACAAGAGAATTCCAACGGAGGAATTAAACGAACTGATAGTGATTGCAGACTTAGAAAGGGACAGAAAAATAAGTTACCAAGGTGAGTTATTGGTTTTCAACGCTCGCCGATCATTAGCTTTTTCTAATTGCAGAAATTACGGTCGCACGTTTATGAGAGATTTGTATTGTCTAATCTGCGTGGGTGGTGTGTCGAGGGTCGTGTGTCGTAGATCGTAGGTCGTGCGTGAAGATAATGCAAGATCTTACCATATAACTCCAAATGGTCCAGATTATGAGGAGTGCATTGGAGCAATTTTCAATTGAGGGTGGAACCAATTCAGCTCCATTCAAGTTTTACATTTAGGCCCCGTTCACACTACGTGGGAGAAATTTGAAACGGACGTTACACTCTGAAAACGCACCAAATGTTTTCCGTCCGCCCTACGCTGGAGGAATTTAAAAACGCACCAATCACCGGGCACTTTGCATTTGTGTTTGAGGAAAACTTGGTCAGGGAAATTATGATTATCGTGACGCTTATTAGTTAATTAATTAATTAATTAATTAATTAATTAATTAATTAATTGAGTTGTACATATAATTTTTTAATAACATGTAATTTAATTTTTTTTTAAATCTTTATTAATCCGAATAGCCCTTTTGGCACGAATAAAGTATGTATGTATGTACGCCATCGTTTCCGAAAAGCTCCGTTTTCAAAATGCTTTCCGCCCACACTAAAACGCAAAGCCGGTGTTTACGAATTCATCTTGTTAACGTTTGAAAAGAGTTTTGGAAAAGCTCCGGTCCGTTTTCGTGACGTATCACTGTGGACAGTAGGCCTAACCGTAGAAATAAACCTGCGTTTTAAATTTCTCTCACTCATTCGATTTTATTCTGATCTGTTACAACATCCTAAACTAATTTTGTCTGGACAAAATTACACATGTCAGTCAGGAGCAATCTTTAACAGACGGGTAGCCAACACACAACAGAAATTACAGTGTTTGAATGGGCATCCGATGGCAAATAAGTTTCTTAAAATTGAATTCTGAACAGTTCATTTTATAAATGACAGAGTAAAGATACTAGACATGGGATCGAATTGTCCAAATTTGAGGGAAGCAGCTGTGCTGAAAAGCGTCAAATCCCGTTTTTAATTTTACATACATTTGACTATGTATGTAAAGTGGCGCGAACTTATAAGCCACGCACAAATTCAAAAAATAGACAAATGTATGAAAATTAAAAGCACGACTGGAAGCTTGGTCAATGAAATCTTGTGCCCAGTATCTCAGCTCCGCAATTCATAAAATTGTTCAGAATTCGACTTTTGGAGAAAATTATTTGCCATCAGATTCCCATACAAACACTGTAATTGTTTTTTTTTCTTGCCTACCCGTCAAGATGGCTTCTGAAACCGTAATAAAGGTTTATTCCTACTGTACTGATGTACCAATTCGACGGTGTAACGCTTTTCAGATTTTTTACATTCAAACAAAAAATCCGCCTCACCGTTCGATTTGACATGCCCAATTTAGTGAATATCTGCGAAATTATAAGAACCCGTTCCAAACTCTCGGAAATAGAGAACGGATCCACCAGGAGGGCTGCTAAAATTCTTATCAATGATAAAGATGAGTAAACCTTTCAAAAAAATTCCATTAGCTGTTTTATAAATAGATTCTTTCGAATTTCGTGATTGACATAACTAACGCACTTTTCATCATCTGGTCCATCTGGACCTACATGATAAAATCTTGCATCATCTTCACGCATGACCCATGACACACGACTCAACTACCCACGACGCATCCACGCGATTTCGTCAAATGACGTGACGTCTCGAGTACTAAAATCTAAAACTAAATTGCCGCCAAAGCTCTTTTTATCCACATCAGGTTTAAATAGACGATATTAGACGGTGGTTCAAAGATGACACAAAGATTACAAGAGAACATTTCACAATGGCTCAAAGATACAAGTTTCATGTTCTCGTGGCAAAAAAAAAAAAATCTCACTCGTTCGCTGCGCTCACTGGTGAGATATTGTTTTTGCCTCACCAACATAAAATTCAAATCTTTGAACCAATGTGTAATGTTCTTTTTATCATATAGACAACAAAAACTACAGAAGCCAATCGAAAGAACAAACGGTATGTGAACTGCAGCTTGGCGACTGGAATATCTTGACTGAATACATGTAGCTCTCCTTTGGTTTATAATTACTTTGAAGAAACTCCTTTTTCTTTCGTCATTTTGGCATTTTTTTTGCATTTTCGTGCTCTTTATTTAACGATTTTATGTCAGTGAATTAAACTTTCCTATCGCTCGACATCTTTCAACCGGCGTTTGGTAAAGTTTGGCAGCCGAGCAATGCAGTGGCCCGAAATGACGTCATCGCCGGATACACTCACTAGTGAAGATATGGAAAATACGCAACTGCGGTCCCGGATGTAAATTCGAATGAATTTTACGAGTGGTGTATTTTCCAGTAAAACACTTGTGTCTATATAATAAGGGGTGGCAAATTTATGTCTACATAAACTTTTCAGTTCAATAGCATGTTTTGTTTGAAAGACAGCGCATTTCGAATTTCATAGTTATGGCTGCGCGTGGCGTAAAGTTAAGATGACGTTTCTCAAAAAATATATATGTTAATCCTTTAAAAAAGTTAAAGTAGTAGTAAAAGTGTTTATGTAAACGTTTGTTTGTCCAGTACAGATAATCAGTGGCCTAGATAACCAAAGTAAGTTCCAGATGTTTACACTATTTTCTGGCAGTCATATTGGTGTACCACAGAGGTACATCAACATAGTTCAATATGGCAGCTCTGTGCTTGTCTCTGTTAATTTGTGTGAGACATTTCGAGGAATACCTGAACTTCCGAATACGTATAGACCCTAAAACTTAGAGTGGTGAGACCCTGAGACCCTCTATTTTGTCTCGAGTTCGTCGACAGTGTTAATCTCAGGGGATTTGAAAAAGCCTGAACGCATGGGGGTGCTCCGGGTGGGGAAGACAAAAATAGTTAAGGGTGATAATAGAAACTCGAGACATAATCGTCTACAAAGCGGCAGACATATATTTTATTTGCCGGCTGGGAGCCTGGGGTGGGGGACTCCCATGTAAAAAGAACTGGGGAGCTCATTGTACCTTTTCGTGGTCAAAAACGTACGTGGTTTTGGTACCG